TAGTGAGGGGCAGGGCTATCTGAGCAAATGAGGGGATGAATTGACGGTAAAAGTTTGCAAAGCCCAGGAAACTTTGTAGTTGCTTTCTTGTGCGGGGTGGTGCCCAGTCTAATACTGCCCTGACCTTCTCTGGGTCCATCTCAATGCCTTGTGGGGATATGCGATAACCTAGGTAGTCTATCTTTTCCTGGTGGAATTCACATTTCGAGAGTTTGGCATATAGGTGGGCGGCCCGCAGTTTCTTTAAAACCGCTCTGACTAGGTTGACATGTTCCTCTTTTGATTCGGTGAAGATAAGAATGTCATCTAAGTAAACAAGGACCCCCTTAAATAGGTGCTCCCTTAGAACGTCATTGATTAATTGCATAAATACTGTGGGGGCCCCTTGTAATCCAAATGGCAAGACTTTGAATTGGTAGCACCCCATGGGGCAGTTAAATGCAGTTTTCCATTCATCCCCTTCCTTCATTCTCACACGATAGTAAGCTTCCCTTAGGTCTAGTTTAGAAAAAAATTTCCCTTTCGAGAGGTGTGACAACATGTCTTTCATGAGAGGCAGAGGGTATAGATTGCTTTCACTGATTGTATTCAGGGCCCTATAATCCATGCATAAGCGTAAAGAGCCATCCTACTTTTCCCTAAAGAGGACCGGGGCAGCCACTTTAGGCTTGGCTGGCTCAATGAACCCCCTTTCTAGGTTTTTCTTTATGAATCTTTCCATTTCCTCCTTCTCCTTTGGGCTCATGGAGTATAATCTGGGCTTCGGGAGTTTTGCCCCAGGTTTGAATTCAATGGCACAGTCTGTGGGTCAGTGGGGGGGAAGCTCATCCGCCCTCTCCTCACTGAAAACTTCAGCAAGGTCTCTGTATTCCTCTGGTATTTCTGGTAGTCCCTTTTCCTCTCCCATGGATGGTTTTTCTGTTCTTGATTCTGGTAGCCCCCCTTGGGATTTTAAGTCCATAGGGTTCCCCTTCGGGAATTTGATTTCTGCCGTCCTCCAGTTCACCCAGGGGTTCCATTTTTTTAACCATTCCATCCCTAAGATCATTGGGCATTCCATGCCTGGGGTCACCACAAACGTTATGTCCTCCTCATGTTTGCCCAGGGAGATGTGTATTCGTAAAGTGGCTAGGGTAGCTGGCACCCCCCTGCTATGGACCCATCTAACTGGCCAAATGAGATTGGTTGTTTCAGTCTCCTCGACGGAATGCCCAGGTTCCCCACTAGCGTCGGGCTAATGAGGCAGCGGGTGCAGCCAGAGTCTATTAATGCTCTCACCCTCATGGCTTCGGCCATGGGAGGGATGAATATAGTCACTGTCTTGAGGATGGGTGCGATGCGTCCACTTACCAGGGGTTCACCCTCCGAGCTGTCATCTGAGGTGTCCACCGGCCCTGTGGTGTAGGCTGGGGTTCTTTCCCCCTGCTGAGCAGAGGTGGGGGATTCCACAGCTTCCATCATTCTCATGGCAGGTTCTTTTGGCTTAGCTGGAAGCTTTCCGGAGTTACTGGCCGGTGATCTGTTTGGGTTGTGTTGGGTGGCTCTTGAGCGGCATTCTACAGATCGGTGCCCTTCTTTCCCGCACTTGAAACACTCCGGTTGCTTCTTGGCCGTGGCCAATGGTTTCACTGGTTCGCGTGTCAGCTCAGGCGGTGAGCGGCTCCATTGTTTTCCTCGGCGGTGCCTCCTCAATATGTCGATCTCTGCTTCCTCTGCCAAGACGTACCATTCCTCGAGTTGGTGTGGGTCCCCTCGGGGCAGGCAAGCATCATATAGGTCATAATTTAGTCCGTCTTTGAAATGGCTAAGGAGGATGTCTTCTGGCCAGTTCAGTTTGCTGGCAATGGCCCGGAATTCTTGTGTATATTCGGCTACCGGGCGTTTGCCTTGCCTC